CCCATCCTCGGCGGCGCTGTCAGCCCGCGGCGCCCGTGCGGCCGGGTGGGGGCGGTGGCGGAAGCGGGGTCTGACAAAGACCCCCCACTGCCTCCGGCTCAGGCCCGCGCCGCCGCCACCCGCGCGGCTCCGCACCCGAAACTTTGTGGCACTTACCAGCCCTGTCGCCATTACCGAATTCCCCTCAGCTTCCCCCACCTTCGCTCGGCCCCTCCGCGGAGTCCCGCCTGCTCTTGAGAGGGCTCGGCCACTCATTGGCTGACATGGATGCTACTCAAGTGCCTTCCCCTCGCCATTGGCCCCCGGGCCTGCCAGTCGAGAATCCGCCCCAGAGGGGAAACTTGTTTTGAGTCTTTCGCACACGCGATTGGGCAGGGCAGCACCTCACTCACACGGAAGGCGCGCTTCCATTGGCCTGTCGCTAAGCCCCGGTAGCCAGGCGGCATTGTGGGAGTGGGAGTCTCTTCTTCCACCGCGGCTTGCTAAACGGCGGAGGCACGGACTACAGCCCCCAGCATACTCCGCGCGGCGCCGCGGGTAGTAAACAAGAGGCTGAGGGACACGTGTATGAGCGTCTCTGGCTGCCCACCCCCGTCCCCCCTCCCCGGTCAGGAGTTCCCAGGAAGGCGCTGGCGAGGGCCTCTCCTGTCACTGCAGAGGGAGGCGAAAAGCGGCGGTGCCAGATCTTAAATATGAAACTATCGTACTGGAAACTCAAAAGTAATGATTGTATTTGCTACAAAATATGCAAAAAAAGTCTTATTTACTTGATATTGCTCACAGTGAGTGGAGCTAGCACTGGGTCAAAGTTGAAGCATTTCTTTATTTCCAGGCAGGCAATCCTGAGACAGTGCTGAGGTGGATCCAGAAGTTGATTATGACTTCTGGAGTGACTTGGGTTTTGCCTCTGCTGCATCAATGAGCTGCCTCCAAAATCATGGCACATGTTGGATACTTACATTGTAAAAGGGTAGAAATTATTGTACAAATATGATAATTATGGTACACCTGGCAGCACTGGCAAAAACCCTCACAGTCCAGACCGATCTGACCACGGGGTACAATTCCTTCCTGACCCCAAATGGGGGCATTGGTCTGATCCCAAGTGGAGGGGCAAGGCGCCCTCGCCAGGAAGCTCCAGCCTTGGTCCCAGCAGCAGTGCTGGCTCACCCCATCAGAGTCACCCCCTGGCTACTTGATGCTTGGCAGGGAGGCTTAAAAACATCCTGCCAGGCAGCAGGAAGGGGGGTCAGGACAACCAGCACCCAGAAACCTGGGAAATGCCTATGGTAAAAACACAGGCATAGCTACACCTGGATCCTCAACTAGCAGATGTTCAGCTGTGGGCTTGCGCTGGCAGCTGGACAGGCTCCTGAGTTCACCAGGTGCAGGACTCAGGATGGTGAGCTCGGTGACTCACTGTGAGCCACTGTTAGGAGCTGGTGGAGGTGGTTGCTGACTGTTAAGGGCATCCAAACGTTATTCCTTTGCCCACTTACCTTCCCCTTCAGTAAACCCTGTGACAACATAACATTGCTTGCCAGTGGAGAAATCTGTTCACATAGGAACACCCAGGGAGATTTATTTTCCCTGGTTTCTGCAAGAATTAGTGTAAAAACCCTAAAACTGAACTTGGCCCTTGTTACTGTCATCCTGTGCCTGGCAGAAGGGGCTCTAGTGCTAGTGCTCTGATCTGACCGTGTGTCCTCTCTGACCTTATTTTAAAGCAGTGATTCTCAAGCAGAAGGCTGTGGTATGCTTGGGGTGCCTTGAGATCCTTTCAAGGGTGCCATACTATGTTAGCCCTCTTAGGTGTGCCAGCCTGATTCACAAGATAAACCCATATTGCTCACAGTGAGTGGAGTGAGCACTGGGTCAAAGTTGAAGCATTTCTATGGAGTCCCAAGTATTAAAAATGTTCTGAGCTGTTATGATCTTTCCCTGCAGCAGAAATGCTGTATTACTTTTCTGTAGTCAAAAAACAAGTGAAAAGTAGGGTTGCCAACTCTATTTGAATCTAGTCCGGGAGGTTTCATCACATGATGTAATGACATTAATTACTTTAGTTCAGGAAGGAAAATGCACATTACTATTACATTTTAAAATCATACTGGAAACTGTATAATTCAGATTCAACATTTAATATTTATTTTAATGAATGCCCTATCATTTATCTCCCAGGTGACTCTCAGCAGTCTCCTGAAGATTCATCTCTAATTCCTGGAGACTCCAGGGCAACCTTGGAGGGTTAGCAACCCTAGTGAAAACCTCGAGCAGGCATTTTCTGAGAGGTGCCTCAGATCTAAAAGGTTGAGAATCACTGTTTTAAGTGCATAGTAGCTGGTAACCAAAACCCAGAAACATAGAATGGTGGAAAGCAAAAACAACTGATATGTAAGTTCCAATGCAGCATCCGCCCATCTCCTATCAGTGCCACACATGTACTAATGAACATGTCTTCCAGAAAGCCTCTTCACACTGTTTGGAAATGTCATCATTTTATGGACAAGGATTTTGACTTGCATAGATTCACTGAGGATGTCTGGCAGAGATAGAAACTAAACTGAGATGTTCTGAGGACCAGTCCCATCCAAGCAGCCCCTAATCCCTAGATAGAAATGTTGGTATTAAAGAGGAATGTTTTTGAAATTAAAATAATCACAAGAATATTAACATAGATCTGACACCTTCAGTGACAAACAGCTGAAAGACTTGATACAGATGGGTGTTTTAAAGAAGAAAAAAAATGTCTTGTTCACTCCTCTTCCCTTCCCATGCAAATCACAGTTAATTGAACAGCTCCAACAATTATCATTAGTTTCTATTATAAGCTGGTAACAGCATCCAAAGAAATGCTAATAAAGAATGAGAAGGCGTGGGAGTGGGGAGTATATTCACCACATGATGAGTATCACACAGGCCCAGTCTAGGACCTTAAAAAACATTATTAATTAAGTTATGTTAGAAAATAAGAAAGAAATAAAGGGTTAATTATTAAAGAATATTAAAGAATTTGGGGGAAGTTCCTATTAGCAGGTACACTGGCACCTGTCAGTAATGGCCAGGAGAGGGTGTGCTGTTTTTTGATTACACAGAGCTATGCAATTGCTAGGAAAGAATTTTTGTTTAGCACGCCAGAGTTTATTTGGCTTGGGTGCTACGTTTACATGTGCTCCCGGGACTCTAGCACATTGAGCCAGGTTGGAGCAGCCCTGGCTGGCAGGGTTCAACGTGCTGTGGAGGGGCTAGCTGGGGCACCCTTGTGCCCTAGTGAGCTGGGTCAACATCTACACTTGTGTTACTGTGCAGTAAATAACACCATTGCAAGATAGTACTTGTATTTACAAAAACTAACCTACAGCAGTGTTTATTAGTTTACTGTGGCGTAATAGGATGCATGTGTAGGCACAGAGACTTTGCTGCAGAGCTAATTAGGCGATTCCACAGTAAACGTCTTGTGTAGATGCACCCACTGAGCATCAAGATGTGTCTAATACTGCAAGTAGGAGACTTATACGAAGGTCCTTTCCCTATTTAAATATTTAGAGTTTGGGCTTTTTCTGAGAAGGAACAAATGCTATCAGTACATTTCCTGTATGTTTCAGTCACTCTTGAGGAACTATATAAAAAAGTTAAAACATGAAGGTGCCTTTGTTAGTGACACATATTACATTTTTATTATTCCCAAACTGAAACTGATATGATTCCTAGGCATACTTGCATATTTCTCTTGCTTTGAAAAGTCAACTGGAATTTTAGGAAGATCTGGACAACTGACCTGGATGCTGCTTCCTACTTGATTTGAGGACCTCTTTTAGGATAACCAGCTGGTTAGGATAATAACAGTTTTCAACAGATCCTACTTAGTCTCAGTATATAATTTTGCATCACGCCTTTTTGAAAAGTGCTGGTTAACCATGTTGATAGAAGACACAAGGGCAGCTTATTTACATTGATCTTTCACTTGGCCACTCTATAAGGGTCTTTCCTTTCTTTGGACCAGGAAGTATCAGATATACTTATTATTATATGTGGGCAGAGCCTCTTTTAAGAACGGCTTAGACCTGGTAGCTATTTCATGTGCTTCTAGAAAGTTCCAAAGGAAAATGTGCTTTTAGAATCCATGTTGCTGAGTTTTTGGTTGCAGGCAAGGTTAGATGTGATATCGTTTATCAGACTAGCGAAGTAGTTGGAAAAGTAGTTGCTAAAAACTTTTTTCCAGTTACTCAGTTGGTCTAATAAAAGATATCACATCTACCCAAAGCACCTTGCCTCCCCTTTTAGAATACAGGAACCTAGCCCATTTCTCCCAAGTCAGAACTTAAGCAAAACGTGGTTCCTATAAAAACAAGCTGTCAGCTATATACTCTTTCCCAATATAGATACTTCTGTCTCTTCCCCTCATCGGGGCCCATTCCTAACTGCAGCCTTGTATGAGATGACTAGTCTGATTTCATATTCACAGGGACATCTTCCTTGCCATATGAAGCATATTTTTAAAAAGTGAATTCCGTTTGTGTGAAAGGTACTTGGAGACTCAAATCATTTATCCCTAGAGAAGGTCAGAGCACGTTTCTCAGTAGATTTTAAAAAGGCATTTGATTAATATATAACTATTTAATTGCAGCCTAATCTTTGAGAAGTTAGTAAGAAGTCTGCTATAGTTCATAATATCTCATGTTCTTAACAGCCAATCTCAAAAGGATTTCTTCCACACAGTTTCAACATCTTCTTTTATAATTTAACAGGTCCCTGCATAATCTTCTCATAAGCAGCATTTAGGAAAGGGATGTGGGATCACATTCAGATTCATTTTCCTCCATGCTGAAGCAATGAAATTGTGTTCTACTATCAAGGTACCATAAAATCAATCTTTCTCTCCCTCCAAACACATGGCAATGCTTCAGAAAAGGTATACAACCTAAAGCTTAATCTTCTTGTTACAAGCTTAATCTTGTTACGGAGCCCATCTCCACTCATTATGCAGTACTTCCTATCCAAAGATCAGAGTGCTTTCTTCAAATGAATAAGAAACTATTTATTTTATAGGGATGCTGCAAAGATTCAAAATTCTTTACAATCTTTAACAAGTGCAATATTAATGCTAAAATTTAAGCCCCCTGCCCTGCAATATGCTGTACTAGCATAGACCCTTATATCCAGGTCTACATTAGTGTAAGATTAGGCCTCAGATATGACATGCCGAGAG